GAACTCTGTGTCCCTTTGGTCTTAGTTTTCATGTAAGAAAAGTGTTCAGGGGGAAATTATGTCATTGAATAATAGAGTGGAAAGAGATTTCAGAGGTCAATAGGCCAATTCTTTTATTTTCTAAGAACTGGGGTTTTGAGAGGAGATGAGATGCTTTTGGCGATATGCTTTTGGGTAACAGGACAGGGTAAAGGCAAAGGAGGGTGTAAGGCATGCCTTCCTCCTACAGTGTACAGTGTAATGATACAGAAGGGACAGTAATTGATTCTGGAAAAGTCTTTTTTTTTTTTTAAGATTTTATTTATTTATTTGACAGATATCACAAGAAGGCAGAGAGGCAGGCAGAGAGAGGAGGGGAAGCAGACTCCCACTGAGCAGAGAGCCCAACGTGGGCGGGGGCTCTATCCCAGGACCTTGGGTTGATGACTTGAGCTGAAGGCAGAGGCTTTAACCCACTGAACCACACAGGCGCCCCAGTTCTGGAAAAGTCTTTAAAAATGCAAGTCAATTTACTCTATTGTAATGCTTATTTCCCCCACTCTACAGAAATAAACATGGAAACTCATGAATAAAATTAAAATATTCGAGGAATTTTGCATCTAGAAATGCTTTCATGACATGCCTTAGGCAGTTACAAACCATACTCAAGGATATGCACATCATTTATGATGTCATTTTAGGGGCATTAAATGAGATAATACATGCCAAGCACTTTGCTTAATGCCTGGCTCACAGGAAGCAGTTAAAAAAATATTAGCTATTTATACAATTATTATTTACTTACCTCTGGGAATCCTCTTTCAGGGAAAAGGTTAGGCAGAAAAATATTTACTGACCATCTTGGAGATAATTATTGTATGATTCTTCACAGTATCTGAAAAGTCAGTTAAGAATAGTGCTATCCCTATTGAAATCTGGGAATCATAGACAGTAAAGATTTGCAAGCACATTTCGATTACCCAAACAGGTTGTAAGCAAAAAGAGAAACATATTCTTCGCTTCCTGACTGCTCTATCCCAGGTTTAAATACTTCATTTCTGATGTTTTTAGTTTCTCAAATAACTGTGAAAAGGAAATCAGGAAGCTGAGTAAAGGAAGTTCTGTGGGCTTCTCCTGGAGACTTCCTTCTTTCTCCACAACAGAACAGCTGGAAAAGTAAAAATGGGTGTATTTGAACACTTCCCCTTTATGAAAATTAAAAAAAAAAAAAAAGAGGAACTGATATGTGGGCTATTCTTTTTTTTTTTTTTTAAGATTTTACTTTATTTATTTGTCTCAGAGAGAGAGAAAGAGAAGGAGCACAAGCAGGGGGAGCGGCGGGCAGAGCAGGCAGAGGGAGAAGCAGGCTCCCTGCCGAGCAAGGAGCCCCATGTGGGACTCCATCCCAGGACCCAGGGATCATGACCTGAGCCAAAGACAGCGGCTTAACGACTGAACCAACCAGGCATCCCTGAGGGCTAATTTTAAAGCATTGTATTTATTTTTCCTTTTCTTTTTTTTAAGATTTTATTGATTTATTTGAGACAGAGCACAAGGAGAGTGAGGAACAGACTCCTCACTGAGCAGGGAGCCTGACACGGGGTTCGGACCCAGGATCCCGAGATCATGACGAGAGCTGAAGGCAGACGCTTAACCAACTGAGCCACCCAGGTGCCCCTACTTTTCCATCCTTAAAGAAATACCTAATAACTACTGATACTTATCAAGTAGTGACTACATGTCAAGCAATGCACTAAATGATGAAACACATTAACTTGTTTGTTCCTTTCAACTCTGAGAATTCAGGATGATTTTATCATTACCATTTTACAGATGGGGAAACCGATGCCCTCGGAGGGTGTTGGTCTGCCGAAAGTTCCAGAGCTCAAAGCAGTAGTGTTGAAATACCAATTTCAGGCAAGCAGTCAGTCCAGGCTGGAAGTCTTCATTCAGGACCATAGATAACCAACTAACTACATTGGTTGGAAAATAAGAAAAACAAGAACAAATTGGGACTCTGAGTCAAAGTTGTATCTTGAACGGCAGTTAGGAACTCACTAATTAAATACCAGGGGGCTAAGAATGCTCCAGTTCCAAAGCCGCCAGAGAAAAAGGAAGGTATATTCAATTAAGTTCTCATAGTGCTTCAAATGCTTGTGGGGACATTATCATACAGACTGTCACTTTTATTCATAGTTCTTTCTTATGCAGCCCAATCTGGTGCATGGGGGTGTATGTAAAGGACACGAGCCTGCAGAATAAAGCACTAATCAGGACAGACTCGAGAAAACCCTTGAGGGGTATTCACCCTGCTTTCCCCCCTTTACCTTCCCCATATTCAAGCAGATTGCTGACTCAGCTCATTCCCTCTGGAGAGGATGAAGCAGGGTAAAAAGTAAAAGTTGTTTGGCAACTACTTCTTTTTCTGGCTTTTAGTTCCAAGGCCTAACCAGGGACAGCACAAAGACTCTTCGGCAGACACTGGAGAAAGGAAACCACCCTCCCTACAGACCAACGGCTAGCAGCATTAATAAACCCTCACTAACACTCATCTTCCTCGTCAGCATGGAGGTGGCGCACAAGTCTTTTTAAGCACACCTGTATGCACTCATTTAATGCTCTCAAAACCTTATAAGGTTGTTGTTACTAATATTGTTAAGAATGCTCCATAAGGGGGATGCCTGGGTGGCTCAGGGGCTAGGGTCATGGTCTCCAGGTCCTGGGATTGGACCAGGGTGAGGTCTCTGCTTCTCCCTCTCCTCCCCACCTGTGCTCTCTCTAGCTCTCTCTGTCTCTCTCAAATACATAAATAAAATCTTAAGAAAAAAAAGAAAGAGAAAAGAATGTTCCATGAGGGCAAGGATTTTTTTTTTTTCTGTTTTTGTTTACTGCTTTACCTCTATTATCCAGAATAGTGCCTGGCAAATATTAGGTACTCACTAAATATTTATTGTAGAATAAATTCCCATCTAAAGGTGGAGGAACTGAGGCACAGAGAAGGTAATAACCTGCCCAAAGTCCCCACAGCCAATGATAGACTGGGAGAATTTAAAGCATCCCCACCTGGGCCAGGGAAGGAAGAAGCAAGAGGAGGGGGGGGATGTGTGGTTCCTGAGAGCAGAGGCCTGGGACCATCCTGTGTCACCAGTGAGATTCCACTTGGAAGAAATGACCGTGTTGGGTGCTGTGCAGTCAGAACTTTAGACAGCATTATTAGTGACAAAACTGCAATATTTGGGGAAGAGAGTGGCAGGATGAGGATACCACAGAAGCAGCAGAGAGCTGTGCACACAGGACCAGTGGGCCAGGCGTAGGACAGCTGGTGTTGATCAATAATGTAGAATCAAAGGGCCACCCCTCCCCTAATTGATAACTGCTTGCTGTGTCTTCCTCCAACCAAGAAAAATGGGTTGTAAAGCAGAGCATTGTTACAGAAAATGAGGAAAGTGCTATTTCTTGCATATTTGATTTTTTTTTAACTGAAGCATACTTAATATAGGGAGAGAATATTAAATGTGTCCTCAGAAGGCACAAGTGTTGATCCTTGGTTGTCCTGTCCCGAATTCCTAGACAATTTATCTAATTTCCCTATGTCTGTTTCTTCATCTATAAAATAGGGGTTAAAAGTGATTGAGGTGAGGACAAAAAGATTTTTTATTTTTATTTATTTTTTTTAAAGATTTATTTACTTATTTATTTGACAGACAGAGATCACAACTAGGCAGAGAGGCAGGCAGAGAGAGAGGAGGAAGCAGGCTCCCTGCGGAGCAGACAGCCCGATGCGGGGCTCGATCCCAGGGCCCTGGGATCATGACCTGAGCTGAAGGCAGAGGCTTTAACCCACTGAGCCACCCAGGTACTCCGACAAAAAGATTTTTTAAAGTGTAAGTTAAAACTCAGTGAAAGAGAACAAACACAATATGCTAATTTTGTAGAGCTCTTGTTTCATTTGCACTTAATTTTGACTTACATAAATTTTTTTGGTGAATAACGTACGGTAAACTTTTCACAGACTGATATTCATATATTTTTTCATTTCTTATGCTTACAATTAACGGATGTAAACACATTTTGCAGAATTTAAAGCGTTTCAGACAGGAACTATTACATGTTGATAGGTTGCTGTTGCTGCCTGTGAGTGTGATTGTCCGGAAGCTGAAAGCCGGGTTGTCATCAAAATGTTTCATGGACAATCTGTAGGTCCAATAATGCACAGGTAGGTATTTCGCTGGGTCTTTTCACTGAGCTGTCCCAAAATTGTAGCTGGAATTAGCTGGAGTGAAAAAAAAATTCTAGGGGCACCTGGGTGGCGCAGTGGATTAAGCCTCTGCCTTTGGCTCAGGTCATGATCCCAGGGTCCTGAGATCGAGCCCTGCATCAGGCTCTCTGCTCAGCAGGAAGCCTGCTCCCCCCCCAACCCCCGCCTGCCTCTCTGCCTGCTTATGCTCTCTCTGTGTTAAATAAATAAATAAAATCTTTAAAAAAAAATTCTAAAACAATTAGGCATTTGTTACTAATCTGTATAAGGATTATCAACAAGGTGTGTAGAATCTTGCTCTCCAGGTTTGCTTTAAACCATACGGCTCTTCCGAGAAAAGGAATGTAAATGAAATTTACTAGCAGCAATAAGAACTTAAGGAGCCTTGTAAAAATGTGATTGGTGGGGAAATATAAATTGGAATCATTCATTCAGCAAAGATACATTAGTGCCTATGATGTGCCTGGCATTCCTTTCCACAATGAGGGTACCGCAGTAAACTCAACAACGAAACGCCTGCTCTTTTGGAGCTCACATTCTGCTGGAGGAGGGTGAAAACAAACCCAGAAAATACACTATGTTGTCCGACACAGTAATGAAGAAACACCCCACAGGTGAAGGATGGGACTGTTGGAGGAGGGGGCCAGTGAGGATGTGGTCAGCCAAGCGTTCTCCAAGGAGACGTAATGAATTGAGGAAGCCAGCCATGTACAGATCTGAAAAGAAGGCTTACTTGTGTTCACTTTCTTCATTCTCCGGGAGCCTATGGTGTAAGGTTTTAAACACAGATGGTGAGCATGTGGCAATAGGCACACTTCAGCCCCCGTAACTTTGATTTTACCAACTGAATGCAAATCTGTTAGGTTATTTACACACAGAGATCCTATAAAATGCCAAGAAGAACCAGAATTCTTCGCAGGATTGGACTGTTTGTCAGGCATAGTTCATCTAAGAAATGAAGGAAGAGACTTAGGTGGAAGTAAGTCGTTTCGTCTCTCATTGGCTTGTGACTGTCACTTACTCATCATATAAACCCAAGATGCCATCCCTGATGAGAACATAGAAGATAGTAGAGACTCCACGAAGACAGAGCCCAAGTAAGTGGTAAGATTGAACTCTACAAAGACAGGAAATGAGATCGTTTTCTTTCTTCATCTCAGTGTTTATTTTTATTACTGTGATATTCTGACTGAGCAACTGATACCTATTTTCACTGTGTTATTCATTCTGCTCTCATTCAGAGCCTCTCTGTTAGTGGTCAGGTATAAATCAAACAGTAGTTTCTTTTTTCTTTCTTCTTCTTCTTCTTTTTTTTTTGTTTTTTGTTTTTTGTTTTTCTTTTTTGAAGGTAGGTGGAGGGGCAGAGGAAGAGGGAGACAGAGAATCTTAAGCAGGCTCCCTGCTGGGCCCAGTGTAGGGCTCAGTCTCACAACCCTGAGATCATGACCTGAGCCGAAACCAAGAGTTGGACGACTAATTGACTGAGCCACCCGGGTGCCCCAAAATCAAACACTAATTTCTAAGAGAAATATAGGTACTGGAGATTTTGAAGGATTTTAAGAGATTTTAAAAGACCCTTTAAGTAGACATTAACATTAAAAAGGCAGTCAGTACTGGAGGAAAAATTCTTTCTCGGAATTTTCCCCACTAATGTTTTCAATGTGTGAAGCAGTAGGGAAGTTCTTCTCTTTTTCTTTCTTCCTTTCTCTCCCTCCCTCCCTTCCTTTTTTCTTTCCTTCCTTCCTCTCTCTTTCTCTCTCCTTTTCTCTTTCTCTCCCGTCCTTCCTACCTTCCTTCCTTCCAAGGTATTTTCTTTATAATATTTTCTATCACTTTAAGGCTCATTTTGTTGAAGTATCCATGTTTTGCCAAGAATTGCATTCTATCATCATTTGGTTTTATAGGTAACTTAAGGCATTTACCCCAGGCTAAGAATTTGAGCTCTCTGCTCCCAAAGGATATTTCAGTTATCCCTCTTGCTTTGGCTTTAACGTGAGACAACCATTTAAAATGATATTTAGTTGGTCTTTGGTGAGAAAAGAAAAATCCTGGCTTGCCAATGCAAAATTATACATTCAGGATTTGACTGAAATCAATATTTCACTCAGTTAACAAAAATGTTTATATTTCTTTATTGTCCTACAATTTAACTCCAACCTGGCAACTTTTCCAGAATCAAACTAGACAGGCTCAGGGACCCTGTGAAGGAGGGAAATCAACATTCTTTACCACCAACTGTTAGCAGGAAATGCAGAGTTGTTGTTTAACGTCATAATGTGCAAGAAGTTCTTATGTAGACAGTAGTAGCTCATGTGATTGTTCTCTAAATCCACTTTTTGTATTTCAAAACACTTCAGTCCATATCATGAGATCACAGACATGGCACTCTATGCCAGTACATTTTGTATGGGTTTAAATATCGGTCAGGTTGAGATCTAGCAAAGAACTGTTAGCAAATTCACAAATAATCTTTGTTTTTATACTTCAGACTCGTAGGTTATTGGATTACTGCTAGGCATATATAAAACCGTATCTGGAATTCTTGAATATGTTTGATGTTCCTTTTATTTAAGAGTAAGAGCTCATATAGATCAACACTTTTATAAGTAAAATAAAGATAAATAGTATTTAGGTTTGGTTTTTTTTTAAATTTTTATTTATTTATTTGACAGACAGAGATCACAAGTAGGCAGAGAGGCAGGCAGAGAGAGAGGAGGAAGCAGGCTCCCCGCTGAGCAGAAAGCCCGATGTGGGACTCAATTCCAGGATCCTAAGATCATGACCTGAGCTGAAGGCAGAGGCATAACCCACTGAGCCACCCAGGCGCCCAGTATTTAAGTTTTGAAGCAAATTGTTAAACGGTTAATACTTAATTCCTTATTTGTAAGTTTTTCTATCCATCAAAAGTACCCCCAAAATTCAATTCCTTTTTTCAGTTGCTTGCTGAAATCTTGAAGGTATGTACCATAGTAAGTGAATATTGGCCTTCTTTGCCAGAGCTGATTTTGGATGCTTATCTCCTTTCTGGCACAGACAGATACTGTTTTACTGTGCGCCTGCAGCAACATACAGATTAGAACATCAGCTCAGTTAAAATGAAATGGTTTTATTATAGCTTGTATTTTATCAATGACTGCATTCAAATTGCCTCTGGGATTGAATGTTCCTGTGTTTTGTGGTTGTTAATCAGTTGAAATGTGCCAGTGTTACATTAAGGAAAAAGAACCACAAACCAGGAGAAAGAAAGGAGCTCCCCAAGATAGCACTTACCAAAAAACCACTATTACTTTCCATGTAAATATTAATACTCAATTAATTAAACAATTTAATTATTTATTAATTTATTAATAGTGAAGTAATTTAATTAATTATCTGGCTGTTTAACTAACATTAAATATTAACTATTTAAAACTAAATCTTTTTGCCTTTAGTGGCTCCATCTGTCTGAGTTCACAGGTGAAAATGTCTATGCAGGGGTTTTATGAGTCATCATTCATATCTTCTTTGAGAAACTGTATCTTATTTTCAAACACAATTCTAAGTGGGTTTTTAATTTATCTGATGAATCAGGAACTTTATTTTAAAGATTTTTATTTTATTTATTTGAGAGAAAGAGAGAGGGCAAGAGCGGAAGGAGGGGCAGAGGGAGAGGGAGAAGCAGACTCTCCTGTTGAGCAGGGAGCCCAATGTGGGGCTCTAACCCAGGACTCTGAGACCAAAATCGGAGCCAAAGGCAGACGCTTAACTGCCTAAGCCACCAAAGCCCCTTGAATCAGGAACTTTAAACCACTTTCTTCAGAGTGGAAAGAAGCCAGTGGTTAGTTTTAGTTGTAAAGGAAAGCATGAAGCACAATCAGCTTACCTTTTTACTTCTTGTCCTATATCATTTCAGGAAACATTTTGCAGCGTTCCCTACATGGGATTCTTAGCACAGAGTGACAGTGGAAGGGCTCAGAAATGAAGCTCACAGTGACAGCATGACACTGGAATTTACCTCGGCCAGGCAAAGAATACTCCGGTCTATTGTGCTGCCTGGTGTTAGTTCTATGTATTACGGGAAGCTGGGATCTAGTTCTGTGTCTTTGTCTCAGTCTGGTCCTGTTAGATCCCCACCGAAATGGCGTGTCTGTTGTATATCTGTGGTTCTGTTTCCTGTGGTTCATCTACACACCTCTAGATGTCTGGTCCTGGACGAAGATCCCATTACCCTCATTACAGGGTTTTTAATATAAGTCTTGCAATCTGGCAGGTCAAGTCCTCTCCTCCTCTTCTCTTAATTTGTCTTGGCTATTTTGGTTCCTAGCATTTCCATTTGAAATTTAGGCTTAGGTTTAGCCACATACTGTCTTGAATTTTAAATACAAATACAAACAATTTTAAATACAAACACAGACTTTGATTACAAATAAGGGCAGTTTCCATTTCATTTCTTACATATGTTGTTTATTGTCTTAACTGAGTTAGCTGGGCCACCTAGGACTAGGTTGAACAGTAAGGCTAATACTGGGGTTCTCTTATTTCTGACGTTAAACAAAATACTTCTATTGGCTCCCCATGATGTATGATGTTTGCTCTAGGTTTTTTTTTGTAGAGACTATTTTTTGGGGTGCCTGTTGTCTTTCATGCATGTAACTAACTACCAATTCAGTTTCTTTGCTGGTTAGTGTTAAATGCAGGCCTTCAGGGTTTTTTTGTTTTTAATTTGAGTGTGTTAGTTTACATATTTCTCAAAATTTTTTCATTTTAAGTGTTCCGATTCAGGGACATAAAGTTATTTGCCAGTTAGCTTATGATTTTGAATGATCCATTTCATCTGCTGTTATGACCTCTTTTGTGTATAATATTAATTTTTGTGACTTTTGCACATTTTCTTTATCAGTTTTACTAGAGGTTTATAATTTGACCTTTTAAAGGTTGTATATAAAAGGGGGCAGGCCCTTGGGGCGCCTGGGTGGCTCAGTGGGTTAAAGCCTCTGCCTTCGGCTCAGGTCATGATCCCAGCGTCCTGGGATGGAGCCCCGAATCGGGCTCTCTACTCAGCGGGAAGCCTGCTTCCTCCTCTCTCTCTGCCTGCCTCTCTGCCTACTTGTGATCTCCGTCTGTCAAATAAATAAATTTAAAAAAAGGGGGGGGCAGGCCCTAGTTTCAAGCAGTGCATCTCTACACAGTCTACCACTTGTGAGGGGATTTTATTCTCCTTTTCTCTGAAGGAGCTACCCTCATGGATGCCACTGCCTTTCAGAATTCAGGGTCCTGTTTTACTACTTTACAGGTGAGGAAACTAAAGCTAGGGACAGGTGACTTGCCCAAGGCCATTCAGATAGTGGCACGGGTGACACCAAAATCACACATTCCCTTTGCCACCGACCTGCTCTGCCCTTGAGCCTGTTCCTCACGGCCTCTCTCGGTGGGAGAGGGATATGTCTTCCCTTCATCCTTTAAACCCATCATCCTCACGGAAAAAAAGGCTTTAACAAAGTGAGATTATTGTAACAGAAATATACTGCTGAATGCAGTAAGAGGGAAAGTGTTTTTAGACACTGTCCTCTTTGGTGATCATTAGCTTACATTGTAAATTTCCTTATCAATTTTCACCATACAAACATTTACCTGGAATTTCTTCTGCTAGTTTTTTATTTTAAGATTTTTATTTATTTATTTGCGGGAGCGAGTACTAGTGAGAGAGCCCAAGCAGGGAGAGGAGCAGACTTCCCACTGAGCAGGGAGCCTGGTGTAGAGCTTGATCCCAGGACCCTGAGATCATGACCTGAGCTGAAGGCAGATGCTTAACTGACTGAGCCGCCCAGGCTCCCCTCTTCTGCCAGTTTTTATGCAAAGGGTTTATAAAATATAAGAAGGATTTGAAGAATCCATAACTGTTTCCAATTACATTTACATTTACTAATTTTTCATATTATAAAAATGTGCACATTTACCCTAAAAAACAAAGAAACAAAAAAAAACCCTAAAACCAAAAGTTCGGGGGCACCTGGGTGGCTCAGTGGGTTGGGCCTCTGCCTTCAGCTCGGATCATGATCTCAGGGTCCTGGGATCGAGCCCCACATTGGGCTCTCTGCTCAGCGGGGAGCCTGCTTCCCCCCTCTCTCTGCCCGTCTCTCTGCCTACTTGTGATCTCTCCCTCTGTGTCAAATAAATAAATAAATAAATAATCTAAAAAAAAAAGTTTGTAGCTATATAAATCAAGAAACCAGACTTGAGCTCAGTAGAAAATATAATTATGCCAATAACTACAGGAATGTGTTGTGCAAGCACAGCTTCATTAATGAGTTATGACTGTTGAAAGGATGTTCTGGAAGGAAAGATAAGCATTCATCAGATGGTCACGGACCTGTGCCAAATCTTAGATTTAAAGATATATTTGCAGAGAACTATAGATAGCTGCCAACTTACGCTAAGGATTTTTTAATGTCTTCTTTACTTGAGTAAAACACAATATAAAATAGCACGTTTTTGCAAATGAACACCAACAACAAACTATCCCTGTGTTTTCATGCAGAATTAGGAGGCAGACACATTCACGTGGCATTTGACCAAATGAAGAAAAGTTATGTTTAATTTTTAATATTGATCATAATGGAGATAAATAAATCTATACATTCATATAATGTTTGTAAGGAAAATACATATCATTTCTTTGTTGCTGAGGAAAAATTGACCTATGACAGCAAAAATCAGTAAAGAAAGGCTGTGTAGGGTGCCATGGTGGTTCAGTCGTTCAGTGTCTGCCTTTAGCTCAGGTCTTGATCCCAGGGTCCTGGGATTGAGCCTGGCATCTGGGGAGCCTGCTTCTCCCACTCCTACTCCCCCTGCTTGTGTTCCTCCCCCCCATCAAATAAATAAATAAAATCTTAAAAAAGAAAAAAGAAAAGTTGTGTAAAATGTTCTTCAAATAAAAACTGCAGGGGCGCCTGGGTGGCTCAGTGGGTTAAAGCCTCTGCCTTCGGCTCAGATCATGATCCCAGGGTCCTGGGATGGAGCCCCATGTCGGGCTCTCTGCTCAGCAGGGAGCCTGCTTCCACCTCTCTCTCTGCCTGCTTCTCTGTCTATTTGTGATCTCTGTCAAATAAATAAATAAAATCTTTAAAAAAAATAAACAAAAACTGCAACCAAGAATGATACTTTTTCCACTCTGAAGGCCTTTTTTTGTTCTTTTGAGATTTATAACAGGTAGATCACAGAATTGTAACCACTATGCTCTTTATTTCCTAGATAAGAATGTTCCCTTTATTGTGATTACATAAATATTTCCTTTTTTTTCTTTCAGAAGGAGCTTACTACTTTACATTTTTTATTGGCTAGTTTTGTACGCTCCTATTTTCCCCACTATTTCTAAGCTTTATTTGGTCCTAACCTCAAATTTGAACTCCTTCTGTGTATATTTCTCCCCCAAAGAATTGGGGCTGTAAATCTTGGAATTTTTGTTAGCTCACTCCAGTGAATTCTTCCCTCTACAGAGAGCACTCCCTCACATAGTGATGTGGGTGGCAGGTGGCATGTGTCACTTGGGTGCAGACAGAGTGGCTAACAGGAGTGGGACGGGGCATGGGAGGTTCAGAGTGACTCTGTTTCTAGCAAGGGGCACTACCTCTACCCACAACACCTAGACAGGGAAAACCAAGGCCCAGAGAAATGTATACCTCTGCAATCACCATCATCATCATTTCTTGGATCTTGAGGGGGTTTAGAGAGGCAACTGGACAGATCTTTGCAGTTATCCTACCATAGATGGGCACTGTGAATGTGCAAACTTGGCAATCTAAGTTTTTATGGTTTGTGTTTGACTTTTTATGTGATGTGCTTTCAAGTATATTTTTTAAAGATTTTATTTAATAAGGGGCACCTGGGTGGCTCAGTGAGTTAAAGCCTCTGCCTTCGGCTCGGGTCATGATCCCAGGGTCCTGGGATCCAGCCCCGCACCGGGCTCTCTGCTCAGTGGGAAGCCTGCTTCCTCCTCTTTCTCTCTCTGCCTGCCTCTCTGCCTACTTGTGATCTTTGTCTGTCAAATAAATTAAAAAAAAAAAGATTTTATTTATTTATTTGAGAGAGAAAGTGAGAGTGCACGAGCCAGGGGGTAGGAAGAGAAGCAGACTCCCTACTGAGCAGGGAGCCTGATGTGGGGCTCGATCCCAGGACCCTGGGATCATGACCTGAGCCGAAGGCAGAAGTTTAACTGACTGAGCCACCCAGGCATCCTTGTGATGTGCTTTCAGATAGAATTTTGAAATTTCAGCTCAACTTTTCTTTCTAATGTTCCTTTCATATCTTTGAAAGACTTCCTTAGCAGAGAATGAACTATTTATACTTACCACTTAAAAATAATGCCGTATGACTTCTATTCATGTAATCACTACAATTATTTTTTATTTGTGGTGTACTGTATTCACAGTGTTTATTCTTGACCATAGAATGAATCCAAAGTTATTATTGCCAATAGCTAATAATCATTAAGTGCTTAGCATTGTGTTAAATGCTTTACGTGTATTACCTCATTAAGTCTCCAAATCCTTATTAGTATCTCTATTTACAAGAAGTGGACTTTGAAATTCAGAGAGATTTTGTTCATTAGCCCAAAGATACATAGCAACTAAGTGGAAGAGCTCAATTTCAAATGAAAATGTTTCTTTCTCAGTTGTAATTATAAAATTACAATACATGCTACTACTATTGCTTAAAATCTTTAAGTGTTTATAAACTAAGAACATGAGATGAAACAAATCACAGAAAATTCAAAAGATTATAACGACCGACAGCTGCCCAATGTAACCACTATTAGCAAACTCTTTGAAATTTAAGAGAAGTTGCTTTCTGTCTTCCTTGCTCCCTTACAGAAGAAATAGAGACATAGGCTCACCATTGCCCCTCCCAGCAAAGGTCACCCAGATGGGCTATGTTTGTATGGTGCTAGCAACCTGATAGAACCCAGCAGCATGGAGGCAGAGAGAGAGAGAGAGAGTAAGAGCAATGTTTCCCTAAGTCTTTGATTCCCAGAGGGAAATGCCAGGGATGAGAGAAGAGAGGGGACAGCCAGCTCGGGTTGGCAAAGCTGGCTCACATTCCCCTTGCACATAACCTTGTTCTTGAAATCTTTATCCAGCTGTCCTCACAAACTCATCTGTGTCACCAAAGCAAACAATAAACCAAATGCCAAAGTACAAGTGAGTAAAGGCAGGACAAGAACAGCTTAAATGGAAAGTTTTGGATGCTATCCTCTGATGGTTGGTGTATAGATAGTCTCCCACTATGAATTCTTTCATAAGTAAAATTTGAGTCTGGTTATTTCACTGGAATGTTCCAGCTAGTTCTTTTTTTTTTTTTTTTAAGATTTTATTAATTTATTTGAGAGAGAGAAAGAGCAGGACCTATGGAGGAAAGGGACAGAGGGAGAGGGAGAAGCAGACTCCCCATTGAACAGGGAGCCCGATGTAGGACTTGATCCCAGGACTCGGAGATCATGACCTGAGCCAAAGGCAGACACAGATTGAGCCACCCGGGTGCCCCATTCTGCTAGTTCTTAAAGAGAGAGTCATGATCTTATTTCTGTCAAGTTTTTCCCATATTTTATTAGGATTCAGGTCTTGAAATATTCTCTAATATTTCCAGTTACCTCAAAAGACGGCATGAATGGAGCGCCTGGGTGTTTCAGTCAGTTAAGTGTCTGCCTTTGGCTCAGGTCATGATGCCAGGGTCCTGGGATTGAGCCCCTCATCAGGCTCCCTGGGAGCCTGGTTCTCCCTCTGCCTGCTGCTCCCCGTGCTTGTGCTCTCACTGTGTCTGTCAAATAAACAAAATCTTAAAAGAAAAAAAAGATGCCATGAAGTTTTGAAAAAGTCCCCAAAGGAAAATGTTGATGAAACATCTCTAGAGGTCTGTTAAAATAATCTTCCAATTTTTCCTTTTCCAGAATCACACCATGCCAAACTACAAACTCATTTATTTTAATATGAGGGGGAGAGCGGAAATTATCCGTTACATATTTGCTTATTTGGACATAAAATATGAAGACCACAGAATAGAACAAGCTGATTGGCCTGAAGTCAAATCAAGTAAGTGTCACAAGTAACAGTTTATGAAAATGTAGGGAAAATATGTCTCCAAAACTTTCTGTTTTTCCTCAGGGAAATGAAAAAATAGACGTTTTAAATCTCATGTTGCTTTACATTGAGAAGCAGCAGTTCAGACAAGTTAAATAAATGCTATGTGCCCCATATTTTCCTATTCAAGGTGAAAACACAAACCTCACAGAAGAAATATAGAGAGATAAACAATAAGTTTTGTCATGAGAGCTGAAAGAGAGAATACTGAAGTGAGTATTCTTGACAATTCAAACGGATGGGCATGAAACAGATATCTCCAGCCTTCTGACAAGGGATCAGATATGCTGTTCTAACAGAAAACCAAACTCAAAGTGGCTTAAATAACAAGAAAATTGTATCACTTAACCGAAAATCCAGAAATAGGACAGATTTCAAGAGATGACTTTATTCATTTTTCCTCCTCTGTGTGTTGGCAGCATCATGAGACTAGTAGCAATAAGTTTGCAGCAATTTCTGCCCAACAGCCTTGAACAGTAACATCAAGAGGTATATGAGAAAGAGAGAAAGAGCACTGTTTCCTTAAGTGTTCCCAAAAGAGGACATGGGGAGTTAGGAGAAGGGAGTTGGGGAAAATTGGAAGGGGAGGTGAACAATGAGAGACTATGGACTCTGAAAAACAATCTGAAGGGTTTGGAGAGGTGTGGGGGGGTGGGAGGTTGGAGGAACCAGGTGGTGGGTGGGTATTAGAGAGGGCACGGATTGCAGGGAGCACTGGGTGTGGTACAAAAACAATGAATACTGTTATGCTGAAAATAAATTAAAAAAAAAAAAAGATTAAAAAAAAAAAGTGTTCCCAGAAGAATGAAACAAACAAACAAACAAACAAACTCCCGGAAGACCTTGGCAAACTCGTCATGTTTCACTGACTCAGACTGGGTCACATGTCCATTTCTGAACCAGTCACTGACCAAGCAAATAGGAAGAACCTTGAACCATCTAGTCTACCTTAGAAGTTGGGTTTGGAATCACTTTTCATAAAGTATATGACTGTTCAAAAGAAGGGTGAATATGTGAACAAAACTGGGATGTTTGATCCAATGAAAATATGCTAGTTAGCACTCAGGACAGAGGGGAAGGATCAGAAATATTATTATGTTAAAAAGTGTGTGGCTCTCAGTAAGTTGTAAGTCATCCTCCGGGTGTTAGTTTTTTATCTTTTTTAGAATGAAGAAAGGATAGATGAGCTAATTCTTTGTCCATCGTGTCTGCCTAGAAATACTAACTAAATATTAATTATTTGTCTAAAAGTCACATATTTGTGTTGGGATTATTACAGATTTGCATAAAGATAAAGCTGAAGAAAACAACTTGAGTCTTTGAAGACTTTTGAGCCCCTGGTGGATTTCGTTTAATTTCTCCAGTACAGCTTCATGAGATATATTATTGTATCTATTTTATAGTTGGGTTAACTATAGCACACAGAATTTGTGTAATTTTTCCAGGCTTACAGTCCTAGCAAGGTAGAAATATTTTTCAAACACAGGTCAATTTCATACAGTTACCCAAGTTATTTACACTAGATAATGCCAATAACACTAATGATAAGTGGCATATTAACAATACATATTGCCACATGCCTTTTAGAAGAATGAGTTCCTTAAAAATCCACTCTTTTGCTTATTAGAGAACTCTTCCCTAGTGGGCTAGAATATGTTATTTCCTGTTCTCATGAAACTTTCTCATTATCCAAACTTTCCAAACCCTGCTATCAGAATTTGTACATAGGATTTTTAATTCTGTCTATATAAAGTAGGTGAAATTTAATTTTATCCATTAATTAAGATGGATAACAAGCTGCAAAGATGGTACATATAACAAATTCCACCTTCTCATTTTTAGATATAAATTCTTTGAGTGCCTCATACCCTATTCTATCTTGACTTTTCATTATGTTATTGAAAATGGAATTACTGTATTTTCATAGATTTTACAGTGGGAAGGGATCTTAAAGTTCACAATGGTTAGTATATATATATATCTCCAATGCTTTAACAGTCACCCAACATAAGTGGAATTTAAGAAACAAAATGGACATTTGGGAGGGGATAAAAAGGAAAGAAAGAGAAGGAAACAAACCATGAGAGCCTCTTAATGACAGAGAAGATTTGAGGGTTGATGGAGGGATGTGGGTGGGGGATGGGCTAGATGGGTATTGAGGGATTAAGGAGGCGCTTGTGATGATGAGCACTGGGTACTGTATGTAAATGATGAACCATTGAACGCTACTCCTGAACCAATATTGAACTGTAGGTCAACTACCTAGAATTTAAATTAAAAACAAAACGAAACAAAAACAAAAACCAGACACCCAACACAAAAATGAACTAAAGAGGATAGAAATTTATTTCTTTTGCATATAATCGCAAGCTGATGTGGAAGTTCTGCTCCACAGAGTTGTCAAAGATTAGGTTCCTTCTTTTCTGTTGATCCGCCACCCTGAGTTGGTTCTTATTTACATAGTGTAAGATGGTCCCGTCTCCTTCCACATTCCAGCTCACAGGAAGTGTGAGAGGGAAAGAGGCACATCTCTTTCTTGCAACCGCATGACCAGAGAGTTTTATACCTCACTTCTGCTTATAGCCCCTTGGCAAGAAATTCTTCACACACTACTGCAAGGGAAGCCAGGAAGTGCTGACTTTATTGCTTTGAGAAAAAAGGAAAAACTAAATGTTAAAAACAGTTTATTACAAATTTTAGCTGGCCTCATCTCTTATCTGATTTAGGAGTGCTCTCTGGTATTTGAAACCCTCTATGATTTCCCCTCTGTGATAACCTAGAGTAGCACTGGATATTTCTATTAAAAATTCTTCTAGAGGAGGAGTCAAGATGGTGGAGAAGTAGCAGGCTGAGACTACTTCAGGTATCGGGAGATCAGCTAGATAGCTTATCTAAAGATTGCAAACACCTACAAATCCAATGGGAGATTGAAGAGAAGAAGAACAGCAACTCTAGAAACAGAAAATCAACCACTTTCTGAAAGGTAGGACTGGCGGAGAAGTGAATCCAAAGCCACGGGAAGATAGACCGCGGGGGGAGGGGCCGGCTCCCGGCAAGCGGCGGAGCAACAGAGCACAAAATCAGGACTTTTAAAAGTCTGTTCCGCTGAGGGACATCACTCCAGAGGCTAAACCGGGGTGAAGCCCAGGAGGGGTCAGCGTGGCCTCAGGTCCCGCAGGGTCACAGAAGGATCGAGGGTGTCTGAGTGTCGCAGAGCTTACAGGTATTAGAACGGGGAAGCCGGCTACAGAGACAGAGCAGAGGAGTACAAGTTCTAATCTCGGGGTTACCTTGAACCGGTCGCAGGCTCGGTCAGCTAGGAGCGCGGCCGGAGGCCAGGGTGACGGGAGTAATTGGGCGCTGTTCTCTGAGGGCGCACTGAGGAGTGGGGCCCCGGGCTCTCGGCTGCTCCGGGCCGGAGACCAGGAAGCCGCCATCTTCATTCCCGCCCTCCGGAACTCTACGGAAAGCGCTCAGGGAACAAAAGTTCCCGAAAGCAAACCCGAGCAGATTACTCAGCCCGGCCACTGGTAAGGACGGTGCAACTCCGCCCGGGGCAAAGACACTTAAGAATCACTACAACAGGCCCCTCCCCCAGAAGATCAACAAGAAACCCAGCCAGGACCAAGTTCACCTACCAAGGAGTGCAGTTTCAATACCAAGGAGAGCAGCGGAATTCCAGAGGAGGAGAAAGCAAAGCACGGAACTCATGGCTTTCTCCCAATGATTCTTTAGCCTTGCAGTTAATTTAATTTTTTTTTCTTTTTCAATTTTTTTTCTTCTTCTGCTAAATTTTTTTTAACTTTTACCCTTTTCTTTTTTAACGTTTTTTAACTAGTTTATCTAATATATATATATATATATATATATATATATATATATATATATTTTTTTTTTTTTTT